GCAACAATGGGCAACAAGTCATCAACTTGGTTGACTTGATCGGACCATGTCTTCTTCACCTGGTTGAGGCGCCACTCGCCCAGCTCAGGAGCGCCAATGAGCCAATGGAAGCAAGACTGACTTGCCTTGTTGAGGATCATTTCTCCCAGCTAAAGACCGGAGACAATGCCATGGAGGCACGGGTGACTCGAGCACCCTTTGTCTTCTTCACCTGGTTGAGGCGCCACTCGCCCAGCTCAGGAGCGCCAATGAGCCGATGGAAGCACGACTGACCCGCCTTGTTGAGGAACATTCCTCACAGCTGAAGACCAGAGACGATGCCATGGAGGCACGGGTTACTCAAGCGCCCTTCTTTCTGTAGTGTTGAGGAGTCCCAAAATTGTCACAGGGCCATACAGCAGCGGCTGGCAGTAGCAGATCATCTCTGCAAGCTTCTGCACGGGGGCGTCCAGCTTGCGGATCTGCAAAGCAAGTGGCACGCAAAGCAAGCTTCGATTCTGACGCTGCAAGCAAGATTGGGTCGAGAAGAAGGTATGATCAGACAGATTGGCTACCATAAGATCTTTTGTTGGTAAGCACAGTGGATGCGAGCTAGACTAGCGACATCTGTTCTTTAGGGCGTTTGTCGACGCGGTCTTCCTGTGTATGGGACCATATATTGCCACCTTATAATCCAGTCACAGTTTCTGTGAATTGGTCAGTAGATAGCGTTTGCATCGCCCTGAAAATGTCGAGAGATTTTGGTGTGTTGTAGGCGAGAGACCATTCGAAGCAGCACGAGCATTAGCGAGCAACAGAATCACGAATCACATCGCACCCCGCCGCACCATGCCCCACGGGACTGATTTTTGCGCGCCTCGAAGGCGCGCGCATTTTGCGACATACGCGTCACTCGACTAGCATCTGCTCAACAAAACGCGTTCGGTCGTCCCGAGAGTGCATATCACTGGCACGCACGCTGTGCTTAATCTATGTCAACGCGCCTCTCGCCTTTTCCTAGAAGCGCCACTGGATTAAGTACGCACAAGCGTGCTGCACGTCTCTTTCACCGCACTGGTAACTTCACCCTTCGGGCGTGATCTCCCACTTTTTGCTCTATCGAGGACCTGGCTCTACCTTGTTGCCATGCTCACCTAGCTCTCCTTTGTTGCCGTGCTGTTCTGACAAATTGAGGGGTTTGACTCGAAGTTTGTCGAGGTACGGCACAGCCCTTGAAGTTGACATTGATCACTTTGATCACTTTGATCATGGCGGTCTCGTCAGTCTCACTCCACGAGTGACCAGAGCGGTCGAGATTTTCCAAGCACACTCACTACCTCCTAGGTGTCAGGAAAGCCACGCCGTGACGACAATGGCTCACAACGCTGCATTCCAATGAGTCGATGGCCGCTGGACTTTGTGACTATCGCTGAAGGGAATATCGAACAACTTCGCATGAGGACCATTTCAACGAAGCTATATACACGGCAAGCATCATATTTGCTTGCCCCTGACGTACACACGATCTGCCTCAATGATGTTGAAATTGCTGTGCGACGGGGATATGCGCAGACTAACTTGCGCTTTACATGTCGCGACTACTTGTTGTCTGGATGACCAGCGTAAGGACTGGGCTCATACTTGTACACACCACCTTCGGATTCGAGCTGCTTTTGTGCTTCTGCTCTTGCCCAAGATTGGATGCTGCAAAGACAGCGGGAGAGATGAAGCACGCAGGGAAGTTCATTGAGCGTCACATGTCTTCCTGCACAGCGTGGCGCATCCATGAACTCACTTGGTGTCCGGCTTGTACAACAAGCCGATGGCGCAGAAAGCCATACCTCCGAACAGTCCGTAGGTGTAAATACCCTCCCATCCCTCCTTCTCTCGCTTCTCGCCTTTACGTAATGGCTGCCGATAGAAACGTTTGAAAGTTAGCGCTGATCTACACCATTCGGCATGGCTACAGCTTACCTTTTGTCCAAGGAAGTGACCTGCACATCGGGTGAGCCGAGCATTGGAAAAAAGGAGGGGAGGCGGGGCGTCAAGCACGGGGATTAGCATCGGACTTGCGATCGCAATCTCCGCAGCTTGAGCCATTCAAATCCGCACATGACACCGCGCTTTGATCATCAGAAGAAAGTGACTCTTTATGCTATCACGCTTCAGCTTCGGATATAGTCGTGCTCTGTGCGAACGCTTCCCGCTAGCTCTAGCGGGGCGCGCGTGCACTCCAGGGCAAAGCCTGAGATCCTTCTCCAACCTTTGCCTGATGGTAATGTGCGATTCCACACTGTGCATAGCACATAGGCGAAAGACACGCTTGGCAACTTTCCAGCGCAATTCCTGACTTCTGCGCACTTCCTTCATGCCATGTGACCCGGGTCCAGGCACCTTGCGCCCTGGTGACTTGCTGCGTACTCACCGCTAGGCTCGTTGTAAGCACCACCTCCACTGGCCAATCTCCTTTGCGACAGCTTAGCCAGCCCGCTAGCCCTGCTTACCCCAATTCGTGATGCCCGAGCAGTCATCGACATCTTGGGATGCTGCGCGTGTTCACAGCGATGTGTTGGCCGTATCGATGAAAGGCGAGGCAATGGTCGACACGGAAGACGACAAAGTCTGGTCGATGTGAGGCTGACTGAGTCGCAGACGACTGGGAGCGGGTTACGAGCTGTGTAGTGTATCCGAGACGAAGTTGGGAGTGACGGTAGCTAGGTCGATCGAGCACACGCTGTACCGGTACAGTCATGCGTAGATTTGGGGACGATCGCGCTGAGCCACCTCACGACTTTGCATGTGACTACATCGCTATGCATGATCCAGGCGGCCCTGCTTGTCGACGGGATGGCGTTGCAAGTCACGTGTTGACAGACAGCTCGACCACGTGCGTCATGGCCTGATGCTCGCATGCTCATTGCGCGGGAGCTGACCTGGCCTGCCGTGGCGCGGGCAGGGGATCTACATGCAGCATGCATCAGCTAAGCTTCGACGAACTTAAGTCGTGAGTGTTGAGTGAGTGGTTGCCGGTCGCGCGTGCAAGCTTGTGACGCGCCTCGTGCTGCAGGCGGAAGGATGTGAATCGTGAATTCTGGCCGGAATATAGCATTGGCGAGAGAATCAGCGAGTTTCCGCGCGCTGCGCTGCATGCATGCAAGCGTATGCTGATGCCGACGACCAAAAGTGGGCCGTTTAAGCGCGCATGCTGCGAAGATCTGGTGACAATTTGACCTGCTCGCTCGTTCGTGACTGCAGATCAGCCGGAAACAAAGCTCATGGGAACTGTAGAGTGCGCCGCGCCGCCCTCGCCATCTGCCCTTCTCATGCAGGAATCCGCTAAGAGCTCCAGAAACTCCAGACCGGCTTTCAAGTCGGCGAACATATTCGAGCAGGCGGAATTGTGAACCTCGAGACCGTTCAACCTTCCTTCGTCTCCTCCAAACCTCACCATCCGCAGCTCTCTTCCCTCTCGATCTCAGTAGGCCTGGACCTACAACGAAGCATTGCACTTGTCGGCTACAGGTTGTTGCGAGTGCATCACCACTTCACTCGCATCGCCATCAGACTATCGCGCTATACGACGAGGCAGACTGGGCCACCATGAACGACGTGCTCGCACATTCCCAAGCCTGGGTGAACGGCACCCTGACCAACCTCATCAACCCACAAACTGCGGTGTATGCTGCTGACCTGTATCAAGGCACCGATCCTTCAAAGCTGAACTTTGCAGAGAGAGCATGGATGGACTGGTACCTGTACTGGGGCAACCCCATCCTTGCCACCGGTATCATGAGCTTTGTGCTGCACGAGGTGAGTGGGCCTCCATGAAGGGAGCTCGCTGTCGCAGCAGACCCATCAGATGCCGGTGATCAACCGATAGCGAAGCGCTGACGCCCCTCGTCCCCACGCCACGCAGCTCATCTACTTTGGTAGAGCTATCCCTTGGATCATCATCGATTCTATGCCTTCCATGCGCAAATACAAGCTGCAGGAGGACCGCACACCAACCCCGGAGCAGCAGTGGGAATGCACAAAGTCCGTGCTGCTCAGCCACTTCACTGTGGAGTTGCCACAGATCTGGAGCTTCCACCCCATCTGCGAATACTTCGGCATGGCCACCCACTCGGTGCCATTTCCTTCTGTTTTGACCATGCTGTGGCAGATCGGCATCTTCTTCGTCTTCGAGGATACCTTTCACTACTGGGCACACCGCGCCTTGCACTGGGGTCCTTTGTACAAGCACATTCACAAGAAGCACCACGAGTTCAGCGCTCCTTTCGGCCTGGCCGCTGAATACGCTCATCCTCTCGAGGTGTTCATCCTCGGCTCAGGCACGATTGGAGGACCCTTTTTGCTTTGCGCGCTCACGAAGAACTTGCACATTCTCACTGTCTACGTATGGATCGTTCTGCGCTTGTTCCAAGCCATTGATGCCCACTCCGGGTACGACTTTCCCATCAGCATGCACAACTGGATGCCGTTCTGGGCCGGGGCTGATCACCACGACCACCACCATATGGCCTTCGTAGGCTGCTACTCTACCAGCTTCAGGTGGTGGGACCACTTCATGGGCACCGACTTGAACTACAAGCGTTACCGCGCCCGCCAAGCCGAGGCAAAGAAACAAGCCAAGGAGCAAGGTCTGTCTTGGCCCACGAAAGAAGCCACCAAGAACGCCAAGGGTATGCCGCTCAAGAAGAAAGCTGAGTGAAGAAGCTCTCTGCAGGCTTGCCCAATCGATTTGAAGTGCGTCCATTTGCGATGAGAGTATCCCCGAAAGATCGCCTCTACCGCTTGGCTCCACGAATACCCTAGGCCATTTCTGCTACTCTTTGATCTCTGCGACATCAAATGCCGGGCTGGCCTCGACTGAGGTGGCCACATCTTACCACCTGCGGTCGCACCCGCTGGCGACCCACTTTTGCAATAGACCATGTACATGCCAGTCACCCTCCCCCTCCCACGCGCTTTAATGCACAGTTCACCTTCATTCCGTCCCGAGACAAGCGGCTGGCGGGCGTGTGGCTGTCCGACGAAGTGCCGAAAAGATGCGCGGCACCTTTCAATAGCGAGCCCTGTTGTCCCTCCAAAGCTGATCGTAGCTAAGCACTTGACAATTTCGTGCCTCGCCCCGACATGTGCAAGTTGACGCAGCCGACATGGCTGTGGGACATTGGGACATGCTCAAGAGGACTCAAGCAGCACATTGATCAAGCAAGGGGCCCCTGATTCACAATTGGACATGTTTCTGCCACTTCACGAAACGTTCCGAGCTGATCACGTCACATCGGAACCAAGTTCCGCGCCATGATGGATCTGAGACTAGGGAAAGCCCGTCTGATTGGGTGGGGGCAGTGCGAGCGACTCACGAATCGAACGACTCTCAGGACGACTCGTGAAGAGTGTTTCGGTCAGTGTCTCGTATTTTGCCCTGAAGCAGATCCGTCAGTGCGACAGCCTGTCAAGTAACACAAATCCCACTCTAGCTCAAAGATGACAATTCGTCCACTTGACCGCTAGCAAGTCGTGTCCTGGCAGTCCTCCTGTGAAGAGCAAGACGGCTCGCAAATTATTGCCCACGGCCTGAGTCGCGCCCCTATGAGCCAAATTAGGCAAGCGACCCAGCGAGGGATTTGATTGACCTTGCTGTGGTAGAAGCTATGTTGACAGGCAATTGCAGCGATGCTATAAGAGAGGATGCTCATGCAGCGAAAAATGTCAATAGCGGCGCACATCCACCTGATGAATTGCGTTCGCTCCTCAGCATAAGGATAATCACTACAATCGCGCCAATATGTCAAACGACAAAATCGGAGCAGCAAAAGTGAGTCTACGCTAAGCAGCTTTGCTGTCGCATGTCTTGAGCCTTAAGATCGGCGTCCATTTGTCTTCGCATTAGTCCATCTTGATCACAGGCTGCTCCAAAGATGGCTTGGGATACGAGCTCGCCAAGTCTATGTTCGCCGCTGGATGGATAGTGATAGCTACTGCAAGTATTCCTCGACTCCGATTGATCTGGGCGCTTTCCCGAGCTTGTCTGTGTCTCTGTATCACCAGGCTCGTGATATGCCCAAGCTTGAAGGACTCGCGCCAGGCATCCTTCGAGTGGAGCTCGATCTCATCGATGCAGCTAGCGTCGGTCGTGCCGCTGAGAAAGCTTTAGCACTCAGTCATGGCCGAGTTGGTAAGCAAGGCTTCGAGCGTCGCTCTCTTGCCTTTGCGTGCTGATAATCGACCTAACAGCAAAATCGTTCCGGTCCTCTTGCGCAGACGTCATTGTGCACAACGCGGGCGTCAAAATTCTGGTCCCTTTGATCGAACAGACGCAGAGGCAGATCGCAGAGCAGTCGAGATTAGCGGTACGTTCAACCGCAGAAACCGGCTGCCAGACTTCTGCTGATCATGACGTCACAACGACCAGTTGGACGGACCTCTACTCCTAACGCAGGCGCTCATTCGGCCTCTTGTGGACCATGGGGACGGCCAGGTGATCTTTATTGGCTCGAGCAGCGCGTGAGATGCTCGCAGCCTCTCTACGTCCATCTGCAGCTGAGATTCCATTGTGCCGGACCTTCTACCAGTTGGTGTCCAAGTCCGGGCGCCGGGGGATATCAGTCTTAAAGGCCGCTCATCATGCCTTGTCAGATGCGCTTCGCGCAGAACTTCGCCCCTTTGGTGTCGACGTCAAGGGTGGGTCGCAAGCAGGGTTTGGGCGCGAAGTTCGCGAGTCGTCTCCTGACTGACATCTGTGCTGCCTGCTCGGGTGCGCAGTTTTGCGCTTGGGTGCAGTGAACACACAGCTTTTCAAAGACGTCCAGGACCTCCCGTCCACGTCGCTGTACGCGTGAGGAATGAGCATTGACTCCTTGATGCTCCATTTAGACCAGACCACATGCTGATGCGATTCCATTTGCCCGGCCCATAAGCAAGGCCGCCGATCTTCCACGCAGGACTTTGAAATCTTTTCTAGCTATGAAGCCCATAGAAGTGACATTGGCTAGCGATTGGCTAGCGTCAAGGATAGTTGCGGGCGACGCAAAGAACTACGAGTATTTCGGGCCAAGCGCGCGTCTAATGGGCCTCGCGTACTATTTCAAGGTGCGTTGTCGATGGGCGCCATACCGCTTCGAGATGAGGCTGACTCGCGCTAGGCCTTGCTTTGTGACCTGCATCCGATGCAGCGAGACTTGTTGCCAAACCTTGTTGCAAAACGCCATGGCTTGGGCAGAGTCGAGACTTCCCAAGCTATCGCAAGGCACGGCAAACGGTACTGAATAGAGATGCGACTGTCATGCATCGACGATCGCTGTCCCTGCCACCTGAAGGGTGCATTGGTCCTGCGTAATTAGATCCACTTTCTCAGACGGCATCAGCTTGAAGCTTCTCTCCAAATGTCGCTTGTCCGAGTCTTCCCGTGTTCTCTGCTAATGTACCAGTCACAAAGCTCCCTCTCGTCGTTCTTGAAGTGGGCTCCAGCTTGCTTGAGAAGCCTAACAGCGTCCACATGACCGCATCTAGCGGCCAAGAACAGGGGAGAATGCCCGGCCGAGTCGCGCAGATGAACGCTAGCACCGGCATGCAACAGCACTGACATTGAAGATGTGTGGCCGCGCGCTGCGGCGACATGTAAAGGTCTTAAAAGTTCGAAGGGCGCCGAGGTGACCTCGTCGTGCTGCTTGGCCTCAGCAGGAAAGTGTTGCGCCATATGCAGCGCTTCGGACCTTGAAGATGGCGATGCGCCGAGATGAAAATGTGCAGCGCTGCGCTGCGTTCTAAAATTCGCTACCAGCTCTTCGGAAGCGTTGGCGGCCTGTCTGGCCTCTTTCAATGTCGCCGGCATGCATTCTTCTTGGAGAAATGCCATAGAATCGAGATGCCATCGCAGCATCTCGGCATCGTCCCTCGTTGCACAATCATGAATCAGATAGGGCAGGACTTTCAACGAAGCACTAGCAGCTTCGCGTGTGTCTTTACTGCCAGAAGAATCTAGTCCAGTACGCCCCGTCACGGAGCTGGATCGTCCTTCAGCGCTCTTGATCTCCACTTGGTCGGTTTCGTGTGTCTCGAGCTTGTCAGGTCTTTCGAGAATGTGAGCCAGCAGAAGCTGTACGTCCGCGTTAGGTTGAGTTCTGGCTGCGCCGGTAGAGTCGTGTGCAGTTGTATTCCAGCTTGTGAGACGCCGCCTTTGGTTCGATCGTTCGGTGATTTCTCCTCTCAAAGATCTGCTCATATATTTTCGAACTTGATCTGGCTTCAGGTTGGGCTTGGCGAGCAAATATGAAAGCTTCGCAAGCGCACATTCTGGCGTCATGTCTCCGCCTGGCACGACCCCAACCTGTTCGAGTTTCTTGCCTGTGGCGTAGATCGCCGAAACCTCTCCTTGTAGGCACTGCGTAATGTTCACTATGACACAACCCCTCTTGGAAGCGCGGTCGAACACTTGCAATAGATCTGCTCGTGAGGGGGCGTTCCCCGCTCCGTACGATTCGAGAATCACGCCGCGAAGTGGAGGTGCGAGAAATGTCTCAACAGTCCGCGTTTGGAGCCCAGGAAACAAGCGTAGCACAGCGACGTCTGAGCACATAGATCCGTATGCTCTGAAAGCGCTCACATCGCGCGATCGCTCGACTAGGCTCCAACTGACGTCGACGTGGATGCCGACACGGGCAAGCGGCGCCATATTTGGCGACTCGAAAGCTGCTAAGGAGTTGTTCGAAGTTTTCGAGACCCTATTGCCACGATAAAGCATCGATGCGAAGTAGAGACACACTTCCGGGATAGTGTTGTAAGATCCTGCTAAACAGAGAGCTCCTAGCACGTTTTCGACCGCGTCGTTTCTAAGTTGGGAGAGAGGTACTTGGGCGCCTGTAACAATGACAAGCTTCCCCAGCGCTTCGAGAAGCATTGAACTATAACAGGAGACATGTCAGATCTCACCACGGGCGCCCTGCATTGACTAGTAAGACTCACAGAGCACTTGAGGTGTACGCCATCGTATCCGTACCGTGCAAGACCACAAAAGCGTCGAAGCTCTCGTAGTTTAGCTGGATGTCCTTTGCCAATCTCAGCCAATCGTCTAAGTCCATCTCGCTCGAGTCCAGCAGAGGATCGTATTCGAGTACGGCATACCTCACGCGCCTCCCATCCGCCATGCGAGGAGTGATGAGCGTTGGTAATTGAAGGGCCAGATACCTGCCATCGTCGCATGGAGCGGCGGAGAGAGCTTGAAGGCGAGATGTGCCTTGAGGCGCTGACGACTTGACCAACACTGGTTTGCCAAAGGCGGGCAAGGATTGAGACCCGCTAGAGCCAATGAAAGGTGCTGCGCTTGGCGGATGCTCGGCGTGGTGATCCAAGAGAGCTGCGTTGTTTACATACACGTCTCGGACAGTGTGCTGGGGGCCTTGTTTCGCACGTTCGGCAGCTGCAGCAAGCAAACTCGGAGTGTCGTGCAATGCAGGATGAGCAGCGGCTGATTTTGCTCTGGGTGATGCCTGACCGCTGACGGGACCGCTTCCAGTGGCTGTGTTGACAGCACTCCACGCTTCGTATCTCTCAACGCTGTCACTCCAGCTGAAGATGCTCTCTGCTTCCGGATCGTGAAAGCGTGATTGAGAACGTAGGGTCTCGGTTAAGAAGGAGGGATAAGGCGCAAAGCCGGATGCTGCATCTTTCCGCACCATTCCAATGGTTCCCCCTGCATACAAGCACAGCACCAGCGCTTCGTCTGCTATCAAAGGGTGCGGCATCAGCCGAGTATCAAGCAGCGGATGGTACGCACTTCATAGCCATCACGCACCTGCCATGGTGATACTGCGCAAGCCGACCCGCTTGCACCCTTCGTTCGCCCCGCTAGACCCGCTGGATGACTCGTAGGCTCTATTTAAAATCGGCGTCTCCTCCTGCAGCTGCTAGAGCAGGCTTTGAGGGATAGTGAGCAAATGTCCGTAGAAACGGACGGCGGAAGCTTGGAGAGACAGCTGAAGCGTTTCGAGGCAGAGAGGCGGTGCTGATGCTAGCAGAAGCGCAGAAAGCGTGCCCCTGTTCCAGGGGCTCGGAGGAGGGGAGCACAGCAGGCGCAAGAATAAGGGTGTTCGTGTGATTGAGCGAGCGCACGCTGAGAAAGCTGGTGTCTTGGCATCGTGAAGGTGAAGCACGAATACACGAATGTCGGTCTGTCTTTCGCACTCATGCATGAGTCGCGACTTATAGGAAAATTGCGCGCTGACGCGCGTTCGTGATGCATCTTCAGGAACGGCACTACCGGAAAACCACCGCGGAAGATGCACCGATGCCACGCGCTCGGCGGAGTCCGACATGCGCACTCTCGCCTCGTGACTCACGACGACTTGGTGACTTGCCTGCTCGAAATCGAAGGCAGGATCCAACGTGATTGTTCATGATTCACGATTGAGCGGTTCATGATGTTACAAGCAGCATTCTCATACGTGTGCGTGCCCACCATCGTGCTTGAATCAACTCGTGGCCTGCTCCTTGGCAATCACGTGGCACAGCATCAAAGTCTCACTCTGTGGGAAATGACAAAGATTGTCCAGTTGCAATCACTAACGGTCCTCGAGGGGCCGCGCTGGAGGTAGCGTTGTGGGGAGCGTCGCAGGCGGTCTCAAGGCTGCGCGCATGGCTTGTGAGGTGAGCCCGCAAGTCAATGCGGTGGTGCAAGTCCGTGAAATGGAGGTGAGTATAATTATCCCTGAAAGGTGTCTAGAGCGAAAAAGATAAGACGACGAGAGCACACAGTAGAAGGGTCGATGAAGGCGCCACACCCCAAGCGCCGTTGGGACTGCTGCTCGATTCACGAGGAACGGAAGTGGTAGTCACTACGGTGGCTGTTGAGCGTGTGGTAGTGGAGCCAGAAGCAGTCACCGTTGCGGCACTCGTCGGAGCACTTGAGGATGCGCTTGTTGTTGATGACTGCGTTGTGGTGCTCTGAGGAATAGGAAGGACGTCGGTCTGGCTACGAGGGGTGTCGTCACCGTCGGCAGCGTTGGCATACCAGTCCTTGTCAACGTTGCTTAGGTCGGGAATGGCCATTGGTCTCCAGCCAAGACCGGCAAGCTGCGGGAAGTACTCAATGAAGTTTCCGACAGAAAACTGCGTCAACTCATGCTCGAGCATGATGATACCGCTGCTACGATCGGACTTGTGCAGAGTCTGCTGGATGTAGGCTTTGACACTGTCCGCTGAACCGCCTGGATTCTCTCCAGGGCATGCACTCGAGCCGTCCGCTTGAATGCACCAGTCATCGGAGTCGTAATCCCAAAGGACGCATGTGAGGCCGAAGACTTCCTTTGCGATAGCTCGGACTGTTGGTTGCAACACACTCGATGTCAGCCGGTTGAGATACGTGCAGTAGTGACCTTTTGACGTTCTACGGGCGCACTGCAGCCTACTCACCTCTAGCGTCGACGTCTCCTTGAGGTGGACGGTAGAATGCGGGAAGCTTGCCAGAGAGATCAAGCACGGCCTGCATGTTCCATCCAAATTCAGCCACAATCATTTCGTCGGTCATCTCGGTGAGAAGATGGTGGGACCAGGTATGGAGAGCTAGATGCACCAGGTCATTGGATGCTGCTTGATGGAACGCGTCTTGGTTGGCAATGATCTGAGAGCCAATCATGAAGCTCGTGCTGGTCTGATTATGCTGTTGGAGGAAGCTGTAAAGGGTAGGCGAGTTTGCTGTGGGACCGTCATCGAACGATACGCCCATCTCATTCGCAGGGGCTTCGTAGATGTCATCTGGACCAAAAGCTTTGGTCCAAGTCCAGCTCTGAGCGAAGTTTGGATCTGTCCCTGGAGGATACTGGCCGTTGCTGCTGGGAGGGACGTTGGGTATTCTCCCTGCATCTTTAGCGCGCTGATACGCCGCGGTCCACGATGCCGGGGTCATCGAAGAAGGTGGCGTCTGGTTGATGGTAGGCCATTGGCGCTGACCATTTTGTCGCTTCTGGACTGGGTGCGAGTCTGTATCGAGGTACATGTCTCGCCCGGCAGGGGCACCCGCAACTAAAGGATAGGCCGCAAGAAGTACGGCCCCAACAACGGATGAGATCAAACGCATGGTGAATAGGCTCGGCTGGGGGAGAGGAAGGAAAGGCGAGGTGGCGGGGTGGGTCAAGGATGGATGGCGTGCAAGGAGCGAGCGAGGAAGCAGCAGTGTGTTCGATGGAAGTGCCGGCCCTTTTAAAGTACGAGATAGGACTTGCCCATATCCCAATATCACGACACTCACAATACCGGTGCCGGTACAGTGCGAGCAACATCCCTGCGCGGAGCTGCGACAACTGGCTCAAGCTAAGCTCTTCGCCTCGAAGACTGCAGATAGATAGATGATTGTCGCAGGGTTGGTGTGCGCGTGACCGTGAACAAGCTTCCTATGCAGAAACGGAGGCTACTCGCTCAGACGTCGTCTGCTCCAGCCTACACATCAGAACACATCACAGATCCATCCTGGCCGCTGCCACTCCCGCGGGGATGCATGAATGAGATGTACATCTCTGCATGTTCGGCTCCTGGACGTCCGACGCTGCCTTCCTTCTCCGCACAGTTTTGCGATTAGGGGCAACCAGGTACGAAGCTTTGTGCGCTTATCAATGCACTGCAGCGTGCAGTATATCTGCGCGATAGTGCCAGTAAGCGCAAGAAGTTGAGATGGATGGTAACTCCCTGTCGTCTGCTCCACTGAGCAGGTGGTACTTGCCGTATGACACAAGGAGAGCATCTCGCAGTGGATGATCGTACCTGCTCCAGCTCCAACCGGCGACGGAGGCCGTGGGCCCGTCATGCATCAGTCGAACATTGGACCTCAAGGCGCATGAATCAGCATTCGAACCCAGCAAGCTGACCGGCTTGGAGACCGACTACTGCATTTTCTAGCGAGTTCGAAGGACATGTTCATCCGGGACGGCGATTTGCTGATGATGTGTGAAAAGGCGGACCACGGCCGCACGTCGGAACTTGGCGTGGCTACCGAGCCACAGCCGGGATGAACGCAATCTTCGTATTCGTGGCTAGTCAGTCTAGCAGCTCAGTCCGAGTGTGCGACTGTTGCGAGACTGAACGTCATCTTCGCAGCGGCGGCCTTGCGCGTCTGCTGGAGCTTGTGCTTTTGATCCACCACTCACGACTCGTGACTCCTTTTGCTCGCATTCGCGACTCACGACTGCTCTGCCACGGACTTGCGTGGTCCGGCGATGTCTTTCCTCATGCAGCCGTTTGTGCAGGTACTGTATCAAGGCCAGGGTGCCGACCCAAGTCTGAGATGGCCGTTCAGCGGTGTGGTGCCGTATGCACCCGCGAAAGCTGCATGGTATATTTGCCCGCTCGCACATGTCACCAATGCTCCACATGCAGCTGACCATGCATATAGCTGCTCTCTGCGCTGTCGTTCGAGCAGCCAGTAGTCATACTCAAGACTCACTCACGCTCACACTGTAACTCGTGACTGTAACTTCGACGTCCGTCCACAGCTCCTGTCGGTGCGCGTGTGCAGCAGGGCCAAGCCGTCCAAGATCTCGAAAGGTGGCTTGGCGTGGCTCAGATCCGGCGGTATCCTTATTTTTCCGACGTGAGCTGAACGGTACAATTGATCCATCATTATGTACAAGCAAGGATCAGAATCTTCCACTCTGTCTGATCTCGAGTTCCGCCTCGAGAACTTGCAGAGAGCCAAGCGCGTCGAATTTTCGAGGGGCCACGCCCAGAAGCACATTTTCATGTATAGGCTGGCTGGATCCTCAAGACTCGAGGTACATCGGCGGCATAGCGGGCAATTTGCAGTACCCAGACGAGCCACGCTTGAAGCCCTGGCGACGATGGTCGGTCTTGGCATCTTTCCGTATTGCCACCCTCGGGTTGTGGCTGCATGACCTGCGCAGGCTAGGGTCTAAGGACATAGCACCGCCAGCTGATGGAATGGTGGCTGGCGACGGACGTCACTGACAAAGTCAGCCAGGCCTCTGCAAATCGAGACGAAGAGAGAGGAAGACGAAAGGAGAGACGCGGCCGCACCGCATTGGTCGTGAAGGTATCGCACTGACTGTGCAACGCGAGCGACAAGAATGTCCCCGAGTCGTACGCAATACATCTTTTCGAGTGGATCATTTTGCTGGGGTCATTCCTGAACACCGCGCTCAACGGGGGAGGTTGGCCCATCCAACAGTCTGAGTCAGGAGCCGGAAATGGCGCAAGAGATCCGCCATCGCCCAGAAACCCAGCGCTGGGCTGTTAGTACGACAGCTCCTGCTTAGATGTCGACGCTCCTTCGATGATTCTTTGTCACTTCCGACCTTCTGATGCTGGTCCGCTGGCTGCTGCGGTTGAGCCAAGGGTTCCTGTTTGGAGGTTGATGCTACCATCGTGGAGAAAGTAACACCATGTGGGCAAGTGTTGGACGGCAGGTAAGCTTGACAACCTCACTCAAGCTGAATGCTCGTGATAGTAACGGCATTGGGCGTGCTTTAGTGTCGCGCCGCCCACACGACGCGCCGAGCGCACCAGGCTCAACTTAGGAATAGCGGGTCTTGTTGCTTGCATCGCAGACAAGAACTTGCCGGACGAAGCTTTGCTGTCCAGCATGCGAGTCTGTTCAACTATTTACTAACAACGCACAGTCCAAGCGAAGACTTCACTTTTGTGCTGGACTTTTCCGTGACCCAGCCCTTCCACATCTGATGGGATATTCAACACGCAGCCTGGGCCACCTCGCTCCTGAATTGCTGCGGGATAGAGTCCTAAATAATTTGAGGGCGCAAAGCTCGACCTTTGATTGCGGGGCGTGGATACGCCCCCGAATCGGGCTCTGGCGTCGCAACACGACTCGCCCACGCTCTCTAGATAGCTTGTTACTCGTCTGTCCGCAGCCGAACCGCCTTCGATCGCCTTCATATGCCTTCACTCACCCACTCTAGCATCTGCAATCCAACCATTCTTGCGACGCCGCCTACTGTGGCGTCCTTTGTGTTAGAATTTGCGACGTGCACGTCGCTGCGTTTGTACGCACGCTCACCGTTGTGCTTGCTGAGTTTCATGCCGACCACGGTTGACTGCCTCGATTTCGAAACTCTCTTCACTCGCTAACAACCATCTAAAGCGTCTGCATCTGCCTGTTCAGACAGTCCATTGGGCGACATCGATCTGAACGACCGCACTCATACAGCACAAAGCCTTACAGAGTGATTCTAGCAATCCATCGTGTCCAACAGCGATATATTATATTTATTACGGGTTGAATGCCCGCAAGCTATTAAGCGTGTGGTGAGCACGCTTGCTGGTCTGGGCGGCATTTCTGAAACTGCTTCGTCCGGTGTGCCGGTAATGTGCCCGCCTGCCCTGTAAAGGATGTTTAGCTTCTCTCCCATGGTCGATTGTTCATCCTAGCAAGCCCGGATCACGAAGAAGCCTCACTTCACCAGATATCGAGAGGTAGGCGCGCAATGAAGACCGTGGATTGCTCGACCGACTGTGTGGCCATCTTCATGAAACCCAGCTTTGCCCCTATCATCGTCTGCACCATTGCGCTTGCGTGTCAAGCGTAAAGGGCCGCATCGAAGACCGTCGTCGCAAATCCTCACGAAGGTCACCGAGGCGCTCTCTCCCGCCCTTTCGCACTATAAGAGGTAATAGAAAATTCAATCTGGACATTGATGATATCGCTCGAAGTTGTCGAGGCTTTGACTCTCAATGAGCTTCGTCCTTGCCTCAACAGTTGCTTCGAAGGTGACCAGTACGTTCACTGACGAGGGAGCTTTGCGCGTGAGAGTTCAGTGACTATAGCTCTGAAGCTTGACGAACCAGTGACGAGCGATGCACTGTTGAAGCACTTCAACATGGGGAGCAAGCCTTTGGGTGCAACATCGACCTCAGGCTAGGTGGACAGCGCTCCATCATGAAAGGCAGCAGGTCGTGTTGGTCGGGCATTAATTGTAGGTGCCTCGCAAATGCGCACGGCTGGTTCCATCCACATTGCTGCCCACGGAGCTGGCCGAGTTCGCATCTGATGGCCTGTGATTGAATGTCATGCAGGTTGATGGGGGTTCTCCCTTCCTACGGCATGCTGCAGGCAGTCTGCATAAGAGATTCTGTATTCTATATTTGCTCGATCTGCTCCGAGAATGAGAATCAGAAAGAGTGGAATAAGCGGCACTGCGTTGGAAGGTCGGATAATGCTCCCTCCTTGTCGCCTGAGTCGCCGCCATGGTGCGAAGATCATGTCAACCGATTGCTGGTGGTGGCGAATTCAGGTCAACTTCGTGCTGAGTGGTCATCGGTTAGACCTCGAGAAGCCGCTTTGCGCATGGTCGATGTCATAAAAGATGATGGCACTCTTTGTAGCCTTGCCCCACCATAGCAACCTGGCGCTCCACCGCTACTTCGCGCAAAGATTGGTGAGTGCGTCGATGCGTGGTCCTTGCCTACTTGCAGGAAGCGACAATCGTCGGAATAAGAGATCGCGAAAGCTACGGTGATCAATATCGACCGGCAACTTGTATGGCCGCTCTGCACCCCCAACCAACTACGGCGCTGAGCAGAGCATGGGCGGGTGCTTGCTGCGCGTCGTGTTCTACTGCTGTATCGAGATGCTCCAGCTCATCGTCACGAAACTCCTTGATGACTGAGGAAAGCAGTGGCAGAGACGGGTCTACGCCTTCGTGTGGAAAGCCTGTGTCTCGACTGCCGGCATCATTCTGATCCACCAGACTCGACAGATGATCCAGCTGACTGTGAGCGTGGAATACGGCAAGTCAGCTCCAGGCCCTCTGGCTCCAAAAGTTGACATCGCGGCTTGCTGACCTGCTAACAACGAATGCAATTCTACTCACTCGTCGTAGTGCTCCCCAATGACTGTCTCCACAGCTTCCGTGCAAGCCATCGCCGCTTCCTTTCCTAGGAGAGCAGTCACACCACCGAGCAGACTTCCTGCAGCACTCCATACTGGCAAAAGCTTGGACGGCGTGACTCGATGTTGGCGCAGAATGTCGGTCACCACTCGCAAGTGCTTCTTTTCGGTGACCCACATTTCCTGCAGGGAAAGGTGTGGCATGGGTCGATGAGGGCTCCTTGCGGACCAATGTGCATGTCAACAGTACTCACGAGCATGAGTTGCTCCGTCTGAAAATCTCCGAGCCTTCTGAATACATCAGCTTGCGCTTCGTAGATTGTATTCGCTGCTACCTCTCCAGCATGGTCAACCCTTAGCATTTGAGACAGCAGTAGGCGATCGTGAGCGCTCAAGTAAGGAGTAGAGGCTGTACCCAGCTTTGGTGTTGACGCCGCTGTGGTTGAGGCGGAGTTGATTTCGACCGATGGCGCCGTGTCATCTGCTGAGTATGCCGAGGATGCCAGGCTTGTAACGCCCTTGCCTTGAGTCCGCGCTTGACGGCCAAAGACCGGAAGCCGCGCCCCTAGGAGCAGGCGCGCCTTCGCTCGAGCAATCATCACCCTGATGTGAGGTGCTGTGGAAGTGGAACCTTTCAGGCACTTGACTCCTAGATAATGAGCTTCGTATCAACTTGCGTTGACTACTTTGACTGAAAACCGCGGATCGCATAATAGGGATGTGGTTGGGAAGATGAGGTTGACGGCTTCGTCCGATTAACCTCATGTACGGAAGTGCATGCATGGCGCGCTTTGTCATCCAAATCCCGCAGCGCCCAACACGCATCGCAATCAAAGATAAATTGAACAAATCGTCAACTAAGAATCTAAAGGACTGTGCGCGTCTTGCAGCTGCCGTCTAAGAGGGTCACGTGCAGCTGACCTCCACACTGCTCGTCAATCAAAACAAGTCTGCAAGCGAAGCCTGAAATCTTTCACCAAATCCATGAACTTCCAGGCTCCTGTCACTAACAGTTTGGTTGCTGCATTTGACAGGCAGAGCAAGCAGGACAAGAACCTCTCTGGGCACAGTCATTCTTTGTCTCTGTTGTTGCGATGCGCTTTATCCACAGTCTACACTGCGTTGCAGGGCAACTCAACTCCTTGTAAGCTTAGGACTGATTGTACCTGTAATCAGCTGATGCTCTGTTCCTTGCACCACAATTAGCTGGACTATGCTGCGCAAAAGTGGCAGTGAAAATTGCGGCTTTGACCAGACAAGGCCCAGACGATGCCAATGAGGGATGGAGACTGCTGTGCCCAAGACCAATCAAGGTGCTTGGCTTGGAAGCAGAAGCAATCTTCTGTGAGAGGGACGCACTGTGCACTTTGCTAGTGTTCATGGCAGAAACTTTGTCTTGGCCATAGATAACGAGCAGGGCATAGGCAGAGGACAGGGTGGAAACTTGACATGAAGGAGCATGATTCAACAAAGCAAGACCTTATCAAAGCACTTGCTTTGACCGGCAGAGCCCTGTGCCAGGGCCTGGCAGGATGAGCCCAAGTGGAAAATGAGAAGTGCATCCATCTTCCCTGGCGGACTGCATTATTTGCTGACCAGCAAGGAGATGGTCAGGAGCTCCAGGATGGCCAGAGGCTTTTCAAGCAAGGTCAAGACCCAGGTCCTCCTCTGCGCCTCCAATGTCACCAGCAATCAGAGCAAAGGTGTCGATGTGTCTGCTGACCAGCAAGGAGCTGGTGGGGGGCTCTGGGACAGCCAGAGGCTTTCCAAGCAAGGTCATGACCAAGACCTTGCTCTGAGCAATCAATGGGACCAGTGGCAAGGGCGGGCGGATGTGTGACATTGCCAGCTCTGGTAGTCTGTTGAGGGCGACCAACCAGTCTGTGAACATGGGGCCTTGCACAAACTTGAATGCAACCAGCCCCAGAGCAGCAAGGACGATCAAGGGAACCACAAGCATCCAGCAAATGCTCATCCACCAAGAGCAGCTAGCCTGCTCCACTGCAGCTGCCTCAATTCTTGACTCGAGAGCAGCAAAACGACGCGCATTGTTGCGCTCCCTTTCTGCCTGCTCCACTGCTGCTTCACGCCTAAGCTCGGCAGACACTTTGCTCAATTGCGCACCAACAGATTGTTGAAAGGTAGCCAAGTCCCTTGGCATTGCCTCAGATGCGCTTTGGAGAGCTTGGCAAACATCCTGAAGCTCTTTGCTGAGGGCGTCAATGCGCTTGTTGGCAGCGGCATCTTTCTGGAGGTGGCTCTGCTCCAGCAAGTCCATGCGCAAGGC